TGATTTTTGTTGTTTTATTTTTTACCTACGTGACTTTACCGAATAGAACCAAAGAGTATTTAATACACCTCCATAATACAGGTTTGTCTTTTTTTTTGGGGGGGGGGGGTTAGATCACATAAATATATAAAATGTGTCGTTAAACCCGCCACCACCCAACACAGCCAACTAGTAAGGTTTGCCACGTAAACTGAACGTGCCAATTCGTCACTAGTTCAGCACACCGATTGTGTTGGAGAGCCAAGCCACAACATTTACAATCTGAGTACGACGTTTCGCCAGTAATTACAACTAGCAAAAAAAAACCTGTATTATGCATTTGACAAACCTCTTTATTACATACATTTAACTGCAACAGCAACGTAACAATGCAGCATTCGTCTTGTGCAATGGCAATGTTTAGTTATGACCTTGCTGCTGCAGTGAACTTGCATGTCAAAAAACAAGTGGTTAATCAGACAATAATAGCAACGTTTTGACACTTCTCCCGTGCCATCACCCCGTGGCCCTGGCGAATGGACTGTCCTGGGTAAAAAGTACTTCTGTGGAAGTCGGTGGACATTTAAACAACAACAACAACAACAAATAAAAGCCAATCATTTCCATAAATACATTCTCACTGGTAGCAGGTGTAAGGAATTTTTCCCTCGGAAGCAACTTTTCGGATTATGCGGAGGTCTGCTTCCGGTGACGGGAAGACATCTGAAAAATAAATCTGTTCTGAACAAGGCCATGAGGCGAGCTCCATCTTACCTGGGTTCACCTTTGCCTTGACCCATGCCATGGAATTTATTTATTGATTTTAAAAAAATTCCAGATCGTTTTCAGAAGCGACCTGGCTGTCAAAAATGATAGCTCACCGAAGTGGCTCATCATCATCATCATGTGGACATTGATAGCAGCCAAATACCCATAAACGCGTGACGTTGATTCTAGACAAATCCACGCGACCACAGGAAGAGACACGCAAACTCGAAATATACAGCAGCAGGCGTCAGGGTCGGGATCGAACCCACGACCTCCTGGATACGAGGCGAGGTAGTTAACATTTCCTAGCCAGCGTGATGATGATGAGAGAGAGAGACACTGCAAACTCCAAATATACAGCAGCAGGCATCAGGGTCGGGATCGAACCCACGACCTCCTGGATACCAGGCGAGGTAGTTAACATCTCCTAGCCAGCGTGATGATGAGAGAGAGAGATACGCAAACTCCAAATATACAGCAGCAGTCGTCAGGGTCGGGATCGAACCCACGACCTCCTGGATACGAGGCGAGGTAGTTAACATCTCCTAGCCAGCGTGATGATGATGAGAGAGAGACACGCAAACTCCAAATATACAGCAGCAGGCGTCAGGGTCGGGATAGAACCCACGACCTCCTGTGTACCAGGCGAGGTCGTTAACATCTCTCCACCGTGGCGCCCTTTTCATCTTCACAGGTCTGCCATCCGCGACGTAAAACTAACCTCGATTGTCCCGTCGATTTTTCTGCATTTTATTAACATCCGTTGTAAGTAAGTTACGAGGCGAGGGTGGCGGAACGTACATTTCTCGAGAGGCAACACGTTGGGACTTGTGTGTGGCGGTGGCCGTTCGGTGGCTGCCTGTGGCTCGTTGCCTGGGCCTTTTGGGGATGGTTCTCAAAAAATGTCCCCCCTCTCTTACACAACGCTGTCGCTGAGAGCAAAGCAATTGTTGAGTTTTGCCCCCGACTGTTCTTGTTGAGAAGAAAATCTAAACCGAGGTTTACATAGAGAGAGAGAGAGGGGGGGGAGTCGATTTGGTCGCGGTCACGTGTGGCGCTTGTTGCAGAGGTTTGTGCGTGGTTCGTGCCCCCGGCAGCTGCCCTGGTAAATATCGCAGACCCCTATGCCATCCCGCTTAGCTCTTGACAATTTTTTTTTTCAAGATCCCCTTGGACCCGATCTGCAAAAGAGCCGGCGTCGTGTTCCAATCATGGGACCTTTTTTTTGCCTGTATCAAAGTATGAAAACTAAGAAGAGGTTGTATACCCTTTGGGGCCATCAATTTAGCACGTACGCATGGAGGGGGGGGGGTGAACCCAAATGCGTACGCATGGGGGGGTCTACTGACAATGTGCGTACGCATAGGAAACGGGGGGGGGGGGGGTGAAGCCTCGATAATAATTAATTTGTCTACATTGGCCTTCAAATGAGTTAGATAGTCCGGCGGTGGACTATCTGTTTGCTTAAACACGTTAATATTATTAATCCTTTATCGCTTATGCGTGGATTAAATATCGGCCGTTCTAATGGATTCGGGGGGGGAGGGGGGGGGCTCAAGCGTACGTACGCAGGTGGGTGGGGGTGTAAAAAGTCCGCGTGCGTACAGGTAGGGGGGTAGTGGTCAAGTTTTGGCAGACGTTTGCGTACCTACTCAGAGGCCAAAAATACACCTTTCGCAAGGAATCAAGTATTGCATTAACCACACATGCATGCAAACAAACATGCTCTGATAATATCTGCATTGTCTTTGAAACCGATTGGCCCACAGCAGAGATTGCCTTCTTTCGGGGCCTAGTTTCACCAGTGTCAGACCAGAGAACGCTAAAAGGCGAACAGTTCCTAAGACAAAGCGCGTATCAGAGCATTCATCATAGCTCTGGGTAAGCAGCTATATCATGGGATAACTTTTTTCACCTCCTGACTTATTGCCAGAAAGGATAAAACCTATTATTATTATTATTAATTTTCATGTCGTGGTTCAAATCTATTAAGAAAGCCCGGCGTTCTGTTTTGTCCGTCAATTAAATTAGAAGATCTTTCAGAAGGCCTGAATCAAAAAGTGAGAGAGAGTGGACTCCCCTCCCTCCCAGACGTGAGGGTAAAAAGTTGATTCAACAGGTTTACAGCAATCGTCGACCTCCCCAAACATAAAATACAATTTGTAGGCCTATATGCCTACACGCCCTACATACAATCGAGTCAGTAGCATATCCCATAGAGTCAGCAGTATCTACTGGTACTACACCTGTACCTAGCCACACCAAACCACACGGCAAAAACCTCCACTTGCGAACCCTTTTTCTGGCGTCTCTCGCTGCGTCTTCTCCAACCACCGTTTGAACATCTCTCTCGTCTTGTGCGATATCCCTTGAAGAGGGGGGGGGAGCGGTTGACATTGTTGTCTCTGTTGTTGTCGTTTTTTTATCTCTGTTGTTGTTGTCTCTGTTGTCATCTGTTGTTTTCTCTGTTGTTGTTTTCTCTGTTGTTGTTGTTGTCTCTGTTGTTGTCGTCTCTGTTTCATCTATGTTGTTGTCTCTGTTGTTGTCTCTGTTGTCATCTGTTGTTTTCTCTGTTGTTGTCTCTGTTGTTGTTTTCTCTGTTGTTGTTGTTGGTGTTTTCTCTGTTGTTGTTGTTGTTGTCTCTGTTGTTGTCGTCTCTGTTGTCATCTATGTTGTTGTTGTCTCTGTTGTTGTCTCTGTTGTTGTTGTCTCTGTTGTTGTTGTCTCTGTTGCTGTCTCCGTTGTTGTTGTTGTTGTTGATGCCGCTGCGTGCTCAAGCAACGCCGTGCACCTCTCGTGCAATACAGCCGTGGCAACGACCGGCTAATTGGGAAGTGCCATCCGCGTGATGCTGTGGTTCTTCATTGCTCCCTGGTGGCCTTTAGTGCGGCCCCTGACGTGCGGACCCCCCCCCCCCCCGACAACACACAGCGACAACACTCCACCCCATCATCATCATCATCGTGCTGCTGTCAAACCACAACAGAAGTGTTTTTGGGTTAGGTCTCGTAAATATAAACGCGTCCTTAAACCCGCCGCAGCCAATTAGTAACGGTTCGTCACGCAACACAAAACGCGCCAATTAGTTGCTGCTCCGGCACACCGTCTGAGCGTTGGAGAGCAAAGCCCCCACAACGTTTACCGCTGGATGCCGTTGGTCGCGGAAGGCCTACGCGTTAAAGCCGACGGACCAAATGGTGTGAAATGGCGCGGCGAGACCTCTCGCGCTGACGGTGCCTCATTTCGGCGAAAGCGGGCCGCGGCACCTCTGGAAATTAGCGAAGAGACGCTGGCGCAGCGGGTCGCGAAATTAACTCGAACTCAGCGGCTGCCGTTCGTCGCCAAAAGTCTTGCGAGGCGTCGTGCCCCTGGCGGCGATGCGTCACAATGATCCGTGCAGGCCGCTTTTTGTGAAGGTCGCTCTTTTTCTGCAGAAGGACGGCCGGAATGCCAATGTCCCCCTCCTCCTAAACGAACAGATGACTAAACTGAAGAAGAAAAAAAAAACCATCGTTATTATTTTCAATGAACCCGTTGTTTTTTGGTCTCGCGGAAAACTCTCGTTGTCGGCGCTCGGAAAAACGGCTTGCGAGCCAAGCACGCGGAAGAGCACGGTCGACAACGTTCCAAATTTGATGAAAATTTAATTGGGATGAAAAACAAACAAAAAACGCACGCATACAAGCACGGAGACAAAGACCCCCCCCCCCCCCCCCCCCCCCCCCGTGTAGCCTGTACACAGACTGTAGGGGCAAGTGCTGTTAGCGAGTAGCACCTACGAAGGCCGAAACGGCACACGAGGGTGTGGTTGGCCAGCACCACGCCCGGCCGCCTTTGTCTCCCAAGTGGTGATGTTTACGCATCTCACCGGGCACTCATTTGAGGCTGAATCGACCTAGGGGAGGCCCGGGACCGGTTTGGATGATCGTCACCGGTGTTGACCATTGGCGGGAATCGAACCCGGGTCGCCGGGTTCGTAGCGCTAACCGCTACACTACCGCTTCCCACACACACGGGAGAGTAACATCGCCCCCCCCCCCCCACCTCCTACTGCCAAGCCGGTGTACTGCGTCCAATTTGTACCACGCAGGGACAGCTACCACTGGGGGGAGAATGGGGGGCCTCCCCTTTGGCTAAGGGGCCGTGCGTAAATGACGTCACGCGATTTTTGACGATTTTTGACCCCCCCTCCCCCTTCGTCACACGGCGTCACAAAAAGTCAGACCCCCCCCCCTCCTCAAATATGACGTCACAAAGCTCTGCTCCCCCCCCAAAAAATATATATATATAAAACATGCTTCAAATCGCTTTAAACTATTGTAGTGCGTTTTTAATGTCACGCTGCACTCTGATGTTGTAGGAGAAAAAAATTATTACAAAGTCTATTTGATTAAGTGGAACGCGTTGTCTACATTTATTTAAAGTTGTGCATTCTTACGTGACGTCACATTTCTCAAACCCCCTCCCCCCCCCCCCCCCCCAGGTGCGTGACGTTATTTATGGACGGCCCCTAAGATTGTATCCGGGGGGTGGGGTGTAGTAGGGGGGGGTGAGGGGGGATGATATGAGATGACGTCCAAGGTGCTTCGCCGTGCCGCTGCGCTGTCCTCAGAAGAGGCCTTTGGCTTTCTTCAGCTCTTTCTGCCTCCACTGGGGCAGGGCGGCGAACTGCGATCGAGACATCTCGAAGATCCTCTCGAAGTCCCCGCTGCCGAGGTAGACCTGGGGAGCACGGCGGGGGACGGGCGGAGACGAGCCAAGACGATCAGTGCTCGTAGAAGGAGGAGGAGGAGATGACGAAGAAGGAGAAAAGGAAGAAGTCGAAGAAGAAGAAGTCGAAGAAGAAGTCGAAGAAGAAGTCGAAGAAGAAGAAGAAGAAGAAGAAGAAGTCGAAGAAGAAGAAGAAGAGTTGGCGACAAGTCAGTGATTGCATTCCTCAGTGGCGGCGTTGTGTAAGGGGGACATTTTTTTATGAACCTCCCGAAAGGCCCAGGCCACGAGCCACAGGCAGCCACCAAACGGCCACCGTCACACACAAGTCCCAACTTGTTGCCTCTCTAGAAGTATACGTTCCACCCCCCCTCGCCTCGTAACTTACTTACAACCGATATCAATAAAACACTTTTTTTCTGATCCGTGGGGGGGCCCATATCGTCCGAGCGGAATCGTGAATATCGGCCCGCAGATTCTGCCGTGGTGGGATCAGTTTCGCTAAGTTAATCAATGGCAGCCCTCAATAATCAACAATCCACCGCTGGATGAAGGCCCGCCCCCACGTTGTGCTGTTCATGGGGGGGAGTCGCTTGACCAAACTTCACGTTGGTCAGTGCGGGCTAGCGATGGTTTGGGGGTGGGAGCGGGGGAGCGGGGGTGAGCGCACTTTGCTACGAATTCGGTGACCTGAGCTCGATGCTCGCTCACGGCCACCACCAACACCGGTGACGACCGGTCCTAGGCCTCCCCCTCGGGCGACTCAGCCTTAGATGAGTACCCGGTGCGGTGTGTAAATATCGCCACTGGGGAGACAAAGGCGGTCGGGCGTGGTGCTGGCCACACACCACCTCGTGCGCCGTGCCAGCCTTCATAGGTGCTGCTCGCTAACAGCACTTGCCCTAACGGTCTGTTCAGGCTACACGGGGGATCTTTGTCTTTGCAATGGTTGGGGGGCGGGGGTGGGTGGGTGGGTGGGTGAAGCCATGATCAGTTCAGATAATGCTCGCCACTGATGTTAGCCGTGCCTGGGAATCAAACGGAGGAGGATGCTGGGACAGCTGCCACTGTGGGCTCTACGCCACAGGCCACCACCACCACCACCACGATCACTTCATCTACGAGGAATTGCATGTCCACGGTGCTTGATTAAATGTCTCATATTTATTTTTTGGATTTGCGCTGTTGTAACTTTCTGAGCCCCGTGTCCCCTACTGGACATCTGTGAGAAAGAGCTTCATAGCTCATCGGGATTCCTCCTGCAGTATACAGTAGAAACCCCACAACTTAACGACGGTGATTGGTTCCACGAAATCAGTCGTGCGATTTTGGTCGTTAAGGGAGTTTAGGAAATTCACGGTTAAAGGCCTTAATTCGTTCCGACAGCATCGGAAGTTACCCATTTTTCACCCCAAAAACCTACTTTATAATATTTAAACAATGGATATTAATACACCAAAAGATACTAACAGCATTATGAACACGTACTATTAAAAGAAACACGGTTAATCGACGCGTTAAATAATATTTACTGCACCTACAACAGCCCCTCGTTAACAGGGGAATGGTCGGTAAGCAAACACATTGGGCTCTATGGAGGCACTACACTACTATACACTACACTATACACTACACTATACACTACTATACACTACACTATACACTGCACTACTATACACTACACTATATACTACACTACTATACGCTACTATACACTACACTACTATACACTACACTATACACTACACTATGCACTACCCTACTATACACTACACTACACTATACACTACTATACACTACACTATACAATGCATTACTATACTACACTATACACTACTATACACTACACTACTATACACTACACTATACACTACACTACTATATACTACACTACTATACACGACACTATACACTACACTTCTATACATTACACTACTATACACTACACTACACTATACACTACACTACTATACGCTACTATACACTACAATATACACTACTATACACTACACTGTACACTACACTACTATACACTACACTATACACTACTATACACTACACTACTATACACTACACTATACACTACTATACACTACACTATACACTACAGATTGGGCTCTAAGTGATTCGTCGTTAACAGAGGTCCTACTCTAAATACAGACTTCTGATGCTGATTCTGTCTCGGGGACCCAAAGAGCCTCGCGCCTCAGCTGCAGCCTCTCCGGGGGAACCCCCAAGTGGCAGCTGCCAGTTCTGCTCTTGGGTACGGCAGCGATGCGGTTCAGGAGCTCGATGCCAATGTGGAGGCCCTGCTGCTACTGCTGCTGCTGGATACGACCGGAGGGCATCAGCAGAGAGAGAGAGAGAGTTCGTGTCGTGTCGCTGTTCCTCCTCCTCCTCCGTTGAAGGCGTTGAAGCAGCGCAGACCACAGTGGGTTTACCGTGCGCTCCATAATTTGCGTTACATGGCCACAAACGCACTACAGTGGCTCGCATTTAGCGTATCTCTATGGGTCTCTGAGTCTCTGTGAGTCTCTATGTGACTCTATGGGTCCACAGTTTTGGTTGCGCAGCCACAAATCACACTGCTTGGGCTCATCTTCAATGTACGTCTACGTGTCTCTACGCACATCCATGAGTGCCGAGAGATGGCCGGCCCCCACTGCGCGTGCTGCACCACCGTCCCCGCCGCTCACCTCTTTCTTTCTGGGGTCCACGCCGGGCGGCAGATCCTCCGTCGCGACGTTCACAAGGCACTCCGGGGGGTAGGACCCAGAGGAGGTGCCGTCCACCTCATTCCCACCGGGCTTGTGCTCCCCGCCGTGGCCTGGCTGAGCTGCCACCGCCCCGCCGGCTCCGGCTGCGGCTGCGGTCCCCGCTCCGGCGCTTGTCGTCTGCGCCGCGCCTCCCACGGAATTCTGGGTAGCGCCGCCCCCTCCGACGCCGCCGCCCTTGGCGTAGGCCTTCTCGTCCGCGGTGCTCTTGTAGCCTTGCGGCTGAAGCCCCGACACTCCGGCTCCCGGCAACTTGCTCCCCGAGGATGCCTTGGCGCCGGCGACTTTGCCGCCACCGCCAGCGGTGGCCGCTGCCGCTTTGCCGCTTCCGCCGCCCGCCTTGCTTTGACCCCCGACGCTCGCCTTGTTGTTCATGTCCTGCCGGAACGAGGGGGCGAGCGGCCGTCGATATTCCGTGCTGTGACCCCGGCGGGAGAAGCGAGATTTCGCTTCCCGAAGAACACATTTTTTTTTTTTACTTAGCACCAGGTCAGGCCCGCTTAGCTGTGGAAAAGGCGACCTGGCCACACATGATGGCTCAACACAGTGGCGGATATGTAAATCAGCAGCCAGATACCCAAAACGCACGTTGATAAATAACAACGCAGACATCAACGTTGCAGAGAACGAGTGAGTACAACAGCGGGGCCTCCCCGCGGGATAACCGCACGACCGACAAAACGAGGAGTTTGACGGGCCATAATGGCGACAGCACAAGTGTGATGATATGAGAGAAAGAGGCGACGGAGAGAGACCGCGGGCGGATGGGGAGTGGGGTTGCAGGTGGAGAGCGGTGCCATCATTGGTGGAGTGGAGTGGAACTTACCACAGTGATCTGGGAGATACCGGTCACATCCCCGAGCTCCAGCTTGAGATCTTCGTAAGACTTGGCACTCTGGAATGACATGGTGAACGGGAGGCATGAGAAGACGGCCACTTTGACTGGGAGATGTCGACTCCATCGCCTGGTATACAGGAGGTCGCCGGTTCTATCCCAACCATTGACGACGCTTGCTGTATAATATTTGGAGTTTGCGGTGGATTTTTCCCCTCCCGTTTTTCCCTCCACATTTAAAATCAACATCGCGCGTTTAGAGAATGTGGCTGCAATGCGTGTCCACGCGACGACGGTGATAAGCCGCTGCTTCGTTGAGTTATCATGTGAAGCCAGGTCGCTTCTGAAAAAGAGCTATAAAGCAGTTCAGTGGGCATTACCTGGTAATGAAGAGTTGTGATGACGGACGGGTGGTTGGAGGCGATTCGTCGCGCGCAACGGGGTGAGTGCACGCAGCGTGACAACATCAACCGCATCGCCTATTTACACCGGCTTTTTGTGATTTTAGTTTGTTGTGTGTGTCCCCCCCCCCATACCTCCGATTAGTACGATGCAAAAGAAGTTCAACATATGCACCTCTATGGATCTCTATGGGTCTCTGTGGGTTTCTGCGGTCTCTGTGGGTCTCTATAGTTCTATATGAGCCTCTGGTTCTCTGTGGGTCTCTGTGCGTCTCTTCCTTGCTCGTGAATAGCAAATTTGGTGGATAATGATATTGGCCTTTTGAATGAATTATCTTCAATAAATACATAAATAAGCGATGAAATACGTGCAAGTTATATAACGCAGCACTTTATCTCATCACTTTATCTCTCGACGCAGCAGCCATGTAGACTCCCAGATGCCATTCACAGACAGCCAACGTATCGGACAGCCAACGTAGCGGATGGCCAACGTATCAGACAGCCAACGTATCGGACAGCCAACGTATCGGACTGCCAACGTATTGGACAGCCAACGTATCGGACAGCCAACGTATCGGAGAGCCAACGTATCGGACAACAAACATATCGGACAGCCAACGTATTGGACAGCCAACGTATCGGACAGCCAACGTATCGGACAGCCAATGTAGCGGACAGCCAACGTATCGGACAGCCAACGTATCGGACAGCCAACGTATCGGACAGCCAACGTATCGGACAGCCAACATATCGGACAACCAACGTATCGGACAGCCAACGTATCGGACAGCCAACGTATCGGACAGCCAACGTAGCGGACGGCCAATGTATCGGACAGCCAACGTATCAGACAGCCAACGTAGCGGATAGCCAACAACGTATCGGGTAACCGAGCTCGCGACCGCCGGGAGGAAGCTCGCCAGCGCCGCCTTCCGTCACCTTCCACTTGAGGTGGTCCCAGGCCATGAACCAGCCGGTGAAGGTGGGCGGCTCGAACCCCTGCTTGACGGTGACGACGGGGGTGTCGGGGTCCCGTTGGGACGGGTGAGACTTGAGGAACTCCGTCGCCGTGGCGGCCGACTCGACGCGCTCCTTCTCGCTCGCACCGCTGCCCACCCACAGGAAGAGCTGCGGCGGCGGCGGCGGCGATGACGACGACGACGCCCGGCATCCAACGAGACAACCGTCGGCACACGGCGATGGTGAGATGGCTCCCCGGCTCTCTCCCCACAGTGCTCCCCCCCTCGCTCCCCCCCCCAACTCACCGCTACCCCCCCACCCTGCTCCCCCCCAACTCACCGCTCCCCCCCCCCCACACTCACCGCTCTCCCGCCCCCGCTTCCTCTGCCCGCTCACACCAACCCTGCCCCTCGCTCCCCCCTCCCCCGCTCCCCCCCACCCACCCGCCCACCGATCCCCCTGTCCCCCACTTCCCCTGCCCACTCCCCACCCCGCTCCCCCCTGCTACCCCTCCCTCCCTGCTCCCCCCTCACCCCCCGGCCGAAGGTGTCGGCAGGCTTCGGCCCGCCGTGCCCAGGGAGAGATCACGACCAACGCCGTCGGCAATAACCCAGCGATCGCCGATCGCGGGTCGGTCGACGACCCGCCACGGTGCCGCCACGGTGCCTCGGAGGGGTGGGTGGGGAGGGGAGGGGCGAGGGGTGTTGGGGAGGGAGAGGGGATGGGGGGGGGGGGCGGCACCTCTTCGCCGGCGTCCAGCAGCATGACGTCGTCCTCGTCCAGGTCGTCCTGCGTGAAGCCGGCCACCTCGGTGACGAAGAAGCGGCCGCTCTGCGTGGAGCACTCGAAGAGGCGCGGCACGAAGTCCACCGCCTCCTCCTGAAACCTGTGCGGAGTCGCACGCACGCACGCACGTGTTGAACTTCCTTTCGCGCCATACGTAGCCGATCGTACCAACCGGGGGTGCGGTGTATGTGCACGTGTTGAGCTTTCTTTCGCGCCGTACGCAGCCGCCCGTGCCAATCGCAGGTGTTGGGACACGCGTGGCCTTCAACGGGGCTCCGCGCGTGGCGAGTGCTGTTTCTGAGCGCCTATGAGGGCCGGCACGCAAGGGGGCACGCGGCCAGCGCCACGCCACGGCGATGTTGGCGCACCGCCCCAGGTATTAATTCGAGGCTGGGTCGACCTAGCGGAGGGCCCAGGACCGGTTCGGATCCATCGTCGCCGGTGCTGGTGGCCGAGCGCCGCGCGGACAATGCGCGGTGCTTCTCAGAGTCCGTGCACGGCGCCCGAAGCGAGGCCCACGCACGGCGCCGCCGCTCGGCCGTGGCCGTGGCCGTGGCCGTGGGGGGCGCCGCCGCCGCCGCGCTCACCCACCGCTTGTCGCTGGCGTAGGCCGCCTTGCCGCCGATGGCGAGCCAGAAGTCGACGGGCTCCTGGCCCTCCAGCACGGTGACTTTGTCCCCGCGGGTCAGCAGCCCCGCCACCGACTTGCCCAGCTCGCGCTCGTCACCGCTGCAGCCCTGGCGACGCGAATCACCGAGGGTGGAATGGTGACGGTGGTGACGGTGTGCGTAGCAAACGGCGCTGATCGAAGGTGCGGTGGAAGGACAATAAATTACGGGTCTCTGTGCGAGTCTATGGGTCTCTCTGTGAGCCTACGGGTCTCTGTGTGAATCTATGGGTCTCTGTGTGAATCTATGGGTGTCTGTGTGAGTGTATGTGTATCTGTGGGGAGCGGTAGTGTAGCGGTTAGCGCGCTGCGCTATGAACCTGGCGTCCCGGGTTCGATTCCCGCTCACGGCCAACACCAGTGACGATAATCTGAACCAATCCTGGGCCTCCCATAGGTCGACTCAGCCTGAAATGAGTACCTGGTGCGGTGTGTAAACATCCCCACTGGGGTGACAAAGGCGGTCGGGCATGGTGCTGGCCACCCACCCCCTCGTGTGCCGTTCCGGCCTTCATAGGTGCTCGCTAACAGCACTTGCCCCTACAGTCTGTTAATGCTATACGCGGGATCTTTGTCTTTGTATCTGTGTGAGTATGAGTCTCTGTTTGAGTCTTTGTGTGAGTCTATGTATCTCTGTGTGAGTCTATGTGTCTCTGTGTGTGTCTACGTGTCTGTGTGTGAGTCTACGTGTCTCTGTGTGAGTCTACGTGTCTCTGTGTGAGTCTGTGTCTCTAGGTGAGTCTATGTGTCTCTGTGTGAGTCTATGGTTCTCTGTGTGAGTCTATGGGTCTCTGTGTGAGTCTATGGGTCTCTGTGTGAGTTTACGTGTCTCTGCGTGAGTCTATGTGTCTCTGCGTGAGTCTATGTGTCTCTGTGTGAGTCTATGTGTCTCTGCGTGAGTCTATGTGTCTCTGTGTCTCTGTGTGAGTCTATGAGTCTCTGCGTGAGTCTATGTGTCTCTGCGTGAGTCTATGACTCTCTGCGTGAATCTATGACTCTCTGTGTGAGTCTATGTGTCTCTGCGTGAGTCTATGTGTCTCTGCGTGAGTCTATGACTCTCTGCGTGAATCTATGTGTCTCTGTGTGAGTCTATGTGTCTCTGCGTGAATCTATGTGTACGTACGTTGAACTTGTTTCGCACCGTACGCCGCCGGCCTCGCCAATCGGCGGCGCGCGATGCCCCCCCTCCCTGCCCCCCACCGCGGTGTCTCCGGCGCTCACCTTGCCGCACCACACGTCGCAGTGGTTGGGCTGCTGGAGCACGAAGACGTCGTTGGAGTTGAGCGACCCGGCGCAGGCCGGCACCTCGATGGCCTTGGTGTTGTGGCTGCCCGTCCCTCGCACCTGGAAGAGCTTGATGGCGCGCTCGGGCTCCTGGCCGCCCTTGCGGGACGTGCCGCCCTGTTGGAGCGCAGCGACGGGTCGTCGTCGTCATCATCATCGCCGTCACACAGCTGTCAACCCCTTGTCAGTGCCCTTACCTTATTACTGACCAAGTCAGATCTTAGTGGTCACAAAGTCACTATACACTACACTACTATACACTACATTACTATACACTACACTATACACTACACTATTAACACTACACTATTACAAACCTGTCAACCCCTCATGAGTGCCCTACCTTATTAGAGACTAAGTCAGACCTTATTGGTCACCCCGTGCCCCCTTATAAATCTCAACGTTCATCCTACAAAGTTCCATCACAAGTGAGAAACACAAACAAATAGACAAACAATTGAAACGTCTGTACGCCATACGGACCTGAAAACTCAATTTCCTAGTACAAGACTATGGGGCAAACCGTATGGGATGACAGGTATGCAGTTATCATTATCATCATCAACCGTGATGAATCCACCATCGTACGAGGATTCCTAACGATCGGTTCGATTATGGCCGCGTAGCAATGCACCTGGCCACCTGCGCGTGAACAATCGGCCAGGCTCTGCACTCATCCAATTGGTGAGCGTTTATTTGCGGGAGGAATGCAGAAAACCTGGAGAAACCCCACGCGTGCGAGGGGGCAACGCTCTATCCCATACAAATGGATCACCAACAAACACAAAATGACCAGGTAAGGCTCCACCGAGCTATGCAGCTCTTTATCAGAAGCAACCCGGATATCGCAAATGATAGCTCAACGAAGTGGGCATATCACGTGGACATTTAGAAGCAGCCAAAACGCTTGACCTTATTTCTAATGTGGAGGGGAAAAACCGGAGGAACCGGAAAAATATCCATGCGACCACGGGGAGAGAGAGAGACACACACACACAAACTCCAAATATACAGCAGCAGGCGTTAGGGTCTGGATCGAACCCACGACCTCCTGCGTACCAGGCGAGGTAGTTAACATCTCCTAGCCACCGTGATGATGAGAGAGAGAGACACGCTAACTCCAAATATACAGCAGCAGGCATCAGGGTCGGGATTGAACTCACGACCTCCTGCGTACCAGGCGAGGTAGTTAACATCTCCTAGCCATCGTGGCGCCCTCAACCTGGCTATCACAAATGACAGCTCGTTGAAGTCGCCTATCATCACGTGAACATTTACAGCAGCAGCAGCAGCAGCCAAATCAATCCGCAGCAGTCTGACTAACGACTTCGACGACGACGATACCTCGAAGATGACCACGGGCCCGCGGAAGATGGCGAGGAAGTGGCGCGGCTCCTTGCCCATGGTGACGCGCACTTGCGTGGGCTCACCGCCGTAGCGGCGGTCCAGCTCCACGGCCTGGTAGGCCGACGCCGCCACCTCGTCGCGGGACGCGTGCCGGCCCTGGCGGGTCCATCGCGCGTTTCGTCACAGCGGGGTTTTTTTTTTCGTTATTTGTCGAATGATCTTTTGACTCTATTTTATAACGCTTGAAAATGTTTTTTTTGGGAATTTTATCATAATATACTTTTGCATCCATGACACAGGGGTTTTGTATTTGTTCAATTGATCTTTTACTCGTCTTATTATTTTATGTGCCACGGGATGTCCCGCGCGATGTGTCACGTGATGTGTCACGTGATGTGTCACGTGATGTGTCACGTGATGTGTCACGTGATGTGTCACGTGATGTGTCACGTGATGTCACGTGATGTCACGTGATGTGTCACGTGATGTGTCACGTGATGTGTCGCGTGATGTGTCGCGTGATGTGTCGCGCGATGTCCCGCGCGATGTGTCACGTGATGTGTCACGTGATGTGTCACGTGATGTGTCACGTGATGTGTCACGCGATGTGTCACGCGATGTGTCACGGGATGTCCCGCGCGATGTGTCAGGCGATGTGTCACGTGATGTGTCACGTGATGTGTCACGCGATGTGTCACGTGATGTGTCACGCGATGTGTCACGTGATGTGTCACATGATGTGTCACGCGATGTGTCACGTGATGTGTCACGTGATGTGTCACGCGATGTGTCACGTGATGTGTCACGCGATGTGTCACGTGATGTGTCACGTGATGTGTCACGTGATGTGTCACGTGATGTGTCACGCGATGTGTCACGCGATGTGTCACGTGATGTGTCACGTGATGTGTCCCAGAATGGCAGTCCCGACCGGACTTTGTCGGCTGAAATTGAGCACTGGATATGACAAATTGACGCTCTGGTGGAAGGGGGCAAAGGAGATAATGCCCCTTCGGTCCCCCCCCCCCCCCCCCCCCCCGGTGCCCCCTGGCCGCCCACCCTCTCCTCGTAAATTGGTATTTAATCAAAATGGCTTCCAGTTCCTGAACGAACACATTGTAATGTCGCGCTCATTGCACACAAAGTGCTTTCCACAATGAACCACGGTGGTGGTGGTGGTGGTGGTGGTGGCGGTGGTGGCGGTGGTGGTGGTGGTGGCGGTGGTGGCGTCGGTGGAGGCGGTGGAGGCGGTGGTGGTGGCGGTGGTGGCGGTGGTGGCGTCGGTGGAGGTGGTGGCGGTGGTGGTGGTGGGTGGGTGGGTGGTGGCGGTGGTGGTGGTGGTGGTGGGTGGGTGGGTGGTGGCGGTGGTGGTGGTTGCGTTGGTGGTGGCAGTGGCAGTAGCTGTCGTACCTGCCACATGTAGATGATGTGGGAGGGCTTGTTGGCCTTCAGGTAGGTGTAGAGCACCAGGTAGCAGTCCCCACCGTAGAACTGGCCATGGAACTTCTTCTCCACCGGCTGCAGCTCCAGGTTCTCGATGCGGTAAACCTGCGCCCGACAATCCGCAGCGACGGCCGTGGTTAGCGGGCGGCGGCGGCAGACGCCCGTGACCTCGCGGCAGGAAAGCGCCTGGGTTCGACTCTCAACTCGCTACGACCCTCTCTGTGTGGAGTGTCTAGGTCGTCTCTCTCTGTCCTTGTCTCTCTGTCCTTGTCTCTCTGTCTCTCTCTTTCTCTCTCTGCCGTCCCTCTGTCTCTCTATGTCGTCTCTCTGTCTATCTCTCTCTGTGTGGAGTGTCTGCGTCTTCTTTCTCTGTCGTCTCTCTGTCCTTGTCTCTCTGTCTCTCTGTCTCTCTCTCTCTGTCGTCTCTCTGTCTCTCTCTCTCTGTGTCTCTGTGTGGGTCTCTCTCTCTCTCTGTCGTCCCTCTGTCTCTCTCTGGCTCTCTCTGTCTCTCTCTTTCTCTGTGTGTCTCTCTCTGTGTCTCTCTCTCTGTCTCTCTCCCTCTGTCTCTCTCTGTGTCTCTGCCTCTCTCTCTGTCTTTCTCTCTCTGTGTCTCTCTCTCTGTCTCTCTCTGTCTCTCTGTCTCTCTCTCTCTGTCTCTCTCTCTGTCTCTCTCTGTCTCTCTGTCTCTCTCTCTCTGTCTCTCTCTGTGTCTCTCTCTGTGTCTCTCTCTGTGTCTCTGTGTGTCTCTCTCTCTGTCTCTCTCTCTGTCTCTCTCTATGTCTCCGTGTCTCTCTCTCTGCCTCTCTCTCTGTCTCTCTCTGTGTCTCTCTCTGTGTCTCTCTCTTTCTCTCTGTCTCTCTGTCTCTCTCTGTGTCTCTCTCTGTCTCTCTCTTTCTCTGTCTCTCTCTCTGTCTCTCTCTGTCTCTCTCTCTGTCTCTCTCTCTCTCTCTGTCTCTCTCTCTGCCTGCACCACGTGTGTTTTCTCGGGGCCCTCCGCTTTTTCTCCTCCCGGAGGCAAGGCAAGTGACGCGCCGCCACCCGGCGTCTTTGGCCAAATCCGACTCGACTGGCACGAGCTGCACACTCCACAGATCCCCTGGCAGAGCCGCTTCCGGGCAGCCGGGCCACCCCACGGGGCCATCGCGAGGACGCTCGGCACGGCGAGCAACGAGCGGCTCGCACGACGCACGCCGGGAAACGGCTCGAGAGACGCGGACCGGTGGCGTTCCTGGGAAAACTGGGACAGGTGGTAACCTCACCTGGGTGGGGGTGGGGGGCAGTGGGGGGTAGGGGGGGCCCTCACCTCCACGTCGCCGGACGCGTCGTCCACCATGCGCTCCTGGGCCGCGATGTCCGGCCGTGCGTGCAGCAGCGTCGCATCGAACTTGCCATCCTCCACCTTGGCTGTGAGCACACGCGGCGCGGTTGCCGCGGCGACGTGGAGAGAGAGCGACGTGGTTACCAAGGCGACGTGGAGAGAGAGCGACGTGGAGAGAGAGCGACGTGGTTACCAAGGCGACGTGGAGAGAGAGCGACGTGGTTACCAAGGCGACGTGGAGAGAGAGCGACGTGGAGAGAGAGCGACGTGGTTTCCGAGGCGACGTGGAGAGAGAGCGAGATGGTTACCAAGGCGACGTGGAGAGAGAGCGAGATGGTTACCAAGGCGACGTGGAGAGAGAGCGAGATGGTTACCAAGGCGACGTGGAGAGAGAGCGAGATGGTTACCAAGGCGACGTGGAGAGAGAGCGACGTGGTTACCATGGCGACGTGGAGAGAGAGCGACGTGGTTACCAAGGCGACGTGGAGAGAGAGCGAGATGGTTACCAAGGCGACGTGGAGAGAGAGCGGCGCGGTTGCCGCAGCGACGTGGAGAGAGAGCGAGATGGTTACCAAGGCGACGTGGAGAGAGAGCGAGATGGTTACCGAGGCGACGTGGAGAGAGAGCGACGTGGTTACCAAGGCGACGTGGAGAGAGAGCGAGATGGTTACCAAGGCGACGTGGAGAGAGAGCGACGTGGTTACCAAGGCGACATGGAGAGAGAGCGAGATGGTTACCAAGGCGACGTGGAGAGAGAGCGAGATGGTTACCAAGGCGACGTGGAGAGAGAGCGACGTGGTTACCATGGCGATGTGGAGAGAGAGCGACGTGGTTACCAAGGCGACGTGGAGAGAGAGCGAGATGGTTACCAAGGCGACGTGGAGAGAGAGCGGCGCGGTTGCCGCAGCGACGTGGAGAGAGAGCGAGATGGTTACCAAGGCGACGTGGAGAGAGAGCGAGATGGTTACCGAGGCGACGTGGAGAGAGAGCGACGTGGTTACCAAGGCGACGTGGAGAGAGAGCGAGATGGTTACCAAGGCGACGTGGAGAGAGAGCGACGTGGTTACCAAGGCGACGTGGAGAGAGAGCGAGATGGTTACCAAGGCGACGTGGAGAGAGAGCGGCGCGGTTACCAAGGCGACGTGGAGAGAGAGCGGCGCGGTTACCACGGCGACGTGGAGAGAGAGCAAGATGGTTACCGAGGCGACGTGGAGAGAGAGCGAGATGGTTACCGTGGCGACGTGGAGAGAGAGCGAGATGGTTACCGTGGCAACGTGGAGAGAGAGCGACGTGGTTACCGTGGCGACGTGGAGAGAGAGCGACATGGTTACCGTGGCGACGTGGAGAGAGAGCGACGTGGTTACCGTGGCGACGTGGAGAGAGAGCGACGTAGAGAGCGACGTGGTTACCGAGGTGATATGGAGAGAGAGCGACACAGTTGTCACGGCGACGTGGAGAGAGAGCGAGATGGTTACCGAGGCGACGTGGAGAGAAAGTGACATGGTTACCAAGGCGACGCAGAGAGCGACGCAGAGAGCGACGTGGAGAGAGAGCGACGCGGTTACCGTGGCGACGTGGAGAGAGAGCGAGATGTTACCATGGCGACGTGGAAAGAGAGCAACATGGTTACCGTGGCGACGTGGAGAGAGAGAGCGACGCGGGGAGAGACGTAGAGAGAGAGCGACGTGGAGAGAGAGCGACATGGTTACCAAGGCGACGCGGGGAGAGACGTGGAGAGAGCGGCGCTGGTTACCGAGAGCTCTCGTCGCTCACCGATTTTGCTGGCGCTGTAGGCCTTGCCGAGGCCCACGGTCTGCCCGGGCACGCTCCACTTCTGGAAGAGCTGCTTGAAGACGGCCGATTCGGCACCGTCGTTCACCAGCTCGACGCCAGTCGACGACGGATAGCCCTTGGCCTTGATGAAGCCCTGCAGCGGCGAGGATCGACCACGCTCTGAGAACCACTGGTGGTGTGGGGACCACGCTCTGAGACCCACTGGTAGTGTGGAGACCCACTGGTAGTGTGGAGACCCACTGGTAGTGTGGAGACCCACTGGTAGTGTGGAGACCCACTGGTAGTGTGGAGACCCACTGGTAGTGTGGAGACCCACTGGTGGTGTGAGGACCACACTCTGAGACCCACTGGTAGTGTGGAGACCCACTGGTGGTGTGAGGACCACGCTCTGAGACCCACTGGTGGTGTGAGGACCACACTCTGAGACCCACTGGTAGTGTGGAGACCCACTGGTGGTGTGAGGACCACACTCTGAGACCCACTGGTAGTGTGGGGACCACACTCTGAGACCCACTGGTGGTGTGGAGACCCACTGGTGGTGTGAGGACCACACTCTGAGACCCACTGGTTGAGTGGGGACCACACTCTGAGACCCACTGGTAGTGTGGAGACCCACTGGTAGTGTGAGAACCACGCTCTGAGAGCCACTGGTAGTGTGGAGACCCACTGGTGGTGTGAGGACCACGCTCTGAGATCCACTGGTGGCGTGAGGACCACACTCTGAGACCCACTGGTAGTGTGGAGACCCACTGGTGGTGTGAGGACCACTGGTGGTGTGAGGACCACGATACTCACCAGTGCACGGCTCATGGCTTCCTTCTTCTCCGTTTTGGTCGCTCCTTTCCCCTTCCACACAAAGATTTTGGAACCACCCTGATCCAAGATGTAACAGTCCTGCCCACGGGAAACACACGCGTGGTGCCGTCACTGTGCAATTAGATCAGCTGCACGACTATACACGTTCCATTTCGCCGGATTAAAGCCCACTCGGTTTTATGTAGGCCCTGGTTTTCGGAAGCGACCTGGCCATGAACGACGATGGCTCGCCGTCGCGTGGACCGGCGATTCTTAACCTGAGGTGACACGCCGCACCCTCTGGGGGGGTGCGAGATGCCCTTGTTGGGGTGGCGAAACATGGGCAGATTTTTGTTTTTATCTTTTTTGTTTAGACGGTAAATCATCAAAAGCACAAATTCAGCACGGGGCGTCAAACCCGACGTGTCCAATCAACATTGCAGCGAAAGCAACAAATCACGATCGACAATCAAAGGGGTGCAAGGCTCCAGCAGAGGTTACGAACCATTGGGCCCGTGGACATTAACAGCGGGCTCTTTAACGCGTCGGCTCTTCGCGAGCAACATCATCCAACCGGCACGCCGCGTCCGGCGTTCGCCGCCGCCGCCCCAACGGCGGGAGCCGGGACGATGGTCGGTGGGGAGACTTACGTTGTGCAACAGGAGGTCCTGGGTGAGAGGCCTCGTCGCGACCTCCTGAACCACGAGGCTGCCCTCCGAGTCGGACACGCTGGGGGGGGGGGGGCGGAACAGCAAGCAGCAGCCACGGTTACCCCGCCGCCGGATGAGGGCCTCCCCGAGGCTGCACGCACCGCGGGCTCATTTTGCGACAAGCATACCCAACCGCAGTCTGCACGTCGCCTCCCTGTTTCTCCGTGACAGCTATTGTCGTGGGACCCCCCGTGAACGACACATCTGTCCCGTCTGCATGCCGTGTCAACCCATACAGTTTACTCCGTATTCTCAGGTCCATACGGCGTACAGCCCGTTTCAATACGGGCAAGAAATATTTTGTCTATTAAATTTGTTTGTGTCTGTAACAAGTTGGGGCACTGATTAGGGGTTGACAGGTATACAACGGTGAGTACTGGGGGTGAGTGCAGTAGTGGTGATTGTCTATTTGTTTGTGTTTCTCCCTTGCGATGGGACTTTGTAGGATGAACGTTGAGATTTGTAAGGGGGCACGGGGCGACCAACGAGGTCCGAATTTGTCTGTAACAAGGTTGGGCACCGACAAGGGGTTTGACAGCTGTGCTTCTGTAGTCCCTGCATCTCCGTCGGAGCCACTTTCGCGACATCCCCCGGGCCCCCCGGGCGAGGCCTCACTGGTAGAGCTTGACGTTGGCCTTCTGGTGCTGGTCGGCGCGGTCGTCGGGGGCCCCCTCGGGGAGGGGCCTCTGGCGGTGGCCCAGGATCTCGGCCATGGCGGCGACGAGGTCGGGGCTCTCCTCCTCGCGGTCGCCCTCCACCACGCCGATCTGGCTGCGCCCGCCGCGCTCGCGGTCGCGCACGTCCATCGCCAGCTTCATGCCCTGGCGGTGGAGGGGGGCGGGGGGGCGGGGGGGGGGGGGGGGGGGGAGGCGGGGGGGCGCCGTCGCGAGCCAGCGAGCGAGCGAGCGCGTTGTTAGGATGACGATAATTTTTGAAGGACACCGGGCACGCCACATGGCTGTGTGTCTGTGTGTGCACGTGCGGAGCGGTAGTGTAGCGGTCAGCGCGCTGCACGACGAACCCGGCGACCTGGGTTCGATTCCCGCTCGTGGCCAACAACGGTGACGATTATCTGAACCGGTCCCGGGCCTCCCCGAGGTCGACTCAGCCTCAAAATGAGTACCTGGTGCGGTGTGTAAACATCGCCACTGGGGAGACAAAGGCGGCCGGGCGTGGTGCTAGCCACCCACCCCCTCGTGTGCCATTCCGGCCTTCATAGGTGATCGCTAACAGCACTTGCCCCTACAGTCTGTTAAGGATATACGGGGATCTTTGTCTTTTTTTGTTTTGTGTGTGTACGTGTGTGTACGTGTGTGTACGTGTGTGTGCGTGTGTGTGCGTGTGTGTTGAACTTCTTTCACCACCGTACGCCGCCAACCGTACTAATCACAGCTATATACATTTAGCGGCCAGATCAGATTGGGGGGCGGGGGGGAGGGGGCAAGGCGGGTCAAGGGGGGGGGCGGAGAATTGGGTGGGGATAGTTCCCCCCCAGCGAGCGAGCAGCATTGGAATGGTAGCGGAGCAGCGAAGGAGTGGCGGTGGAGCGGCGGTGGAACGGCGGTGGAACGGCAAGGGAGCGGCGGTGGAGTTGTAGTGGAATGGTAGCAAAGCGGTAGCACAGCGGCGAGGGAGCGGCGAGGGCGTGGAGCCGGGCACCGACCTTGAGGCGCTCCATGCGGTTGCTCCCGGCACCGTTCCACTGCACGATGACCTTGCCTATGTCGAGCAGGAAGACGTCGCTCGTGTTGAAGCTGTCCCACGACAGCTCCACCTGCCGCACGTCAACCAATCCATAATTAGAAAACAACAACAACAATATAATAATGATGTCACATTCATTGCATGCATATTCAGGTTATAATTGAATGTTAATCAACTGTGACTAAACCAACCAGTGATAGATCCTGCATAATCTCAGATTAATATGATCCATTGTAACTTATGTGAGTACATTAACCCCCTTCTGATTTTCGCACCTGACAGGCTCACAGGCGGTGACATCACCTCTACTCCGTCTATCTAAGACGGGAATCAGCTAGACTTCTTCACAATTTTGACTATCGCCTGATGAAGCTGGTGGTTAAATTTCGATTTAAAGCTTTCGTGACTGCAAGGATTCATCTTCTTTGGTTCTTTTGGTAAAGTCACGTAGAATGAGAATAAAATAACGGCGGCCGCTTGCGTTGTGGCCGAAACGTCGTGAGAATTTTATTGTGTTATTTCATTATTTTATTCTCATTCTACGTGACTTTACCGAAAGAACCAAAGAAGCTGGTGGTTGTTGTTGTTGTAACTACCAGGCAAAATGCCACGGCGCTACTGGAATTGCAAATGTTGTCGTGGGTTTACTCTCCCAACAACGAACCGGCTAGTGCTGAACTAGTATCGAATCGGCACGTTTCGTTGATGTGAACAAACTTGCTGGATGTATCGTCGCTTCAGCACACCGGTGTGTGTTGGAGAGGGGAGTCCTTTTGCCGTAGTAGTAGTAGTATTTGTACTCTGGGGTTCAGGGATCATATAGCATTCTGTACCCTCGTAGGCGTGGGGGGTTATATTGCTCTAATAGTATCTGTGTAGTATTAAGACTCCAGGGTCACGATACTATATGACGGAGTTTGGGGGGAAGAGAGTTATATCGCTATAATAGTATTTGTATTAGGATCCTCAAATCAAGATACTATATGACAGGCGGGCGGGGGGGGGTGGAGGGAGGCTGTCACCTCGCTGGCCGTCACGTTTTTCTTGCCCTTGACGTGTAGAAGCCGCTTCACGTTGTAGGTGTTGCTCTCCACGTGCTTGAAGCCGGATGCAATGCCTCCTTTCTTGTATCTGAGCAAAGACAAAGATCCCACCCCCCGTGTAGCCTCGACAGACTGTTGGGGCAAGGGCTGTTAGCGAGCAGCACCGATGAGGTCCGGCACGGCGCACGAAGGGGTGGGTGGCCAGCGCCACGCCGTTGCCGCGTTTATCGTCCCGCGTGGCGATGTTTACTCCACACGCCGCAGCAGGTGCTCGCTTTGAGGCTGAGTCGACCTCGGGGATGCCCACGACCGGTTCAGATAACCATCACCGGTGTTGGTGACCATCAGCGGGAATCGAACTCAGGCCACCGGGTTCGCAGCGCAACGCGCTAACCGTTGCACCGCCTCACACGCCGCAGCGCGTGCAGCAGCAACGCAAGCGATTCACGAGAACCCCATTTCCACTGGCACATCCGAGCCGAGCCAAAACTAAACCATGAGTACCCTGGGCCTCGCAGAGAAAATATCTGGGCCGGGGCTAACGACTCGTTCATTGCGTGCAACGTATCAACTTGGAAGTGTCGACGATGAAGATGATCAGGACGAAGACGATGACGACAATGATTGCTGATGCTGATAATGGCGTTCGTGCTGATGATGATGATGGCAACGATTATGCTGATTATACTGACGCTAATGATGAGGATGATGTGAATGGTGACAATGCTGTTGATAATGATCACGATGATGATCGTGATGATCACTGTAATGGTGATACACTAATTATGAGGATGATGACGATGATGTTGATGATCACTATCCTAATGATCACAATGATGATTATCACGATGATGATGGTACCGATACTAATTATGGGGATGATGATGTCGATGATCGCTACACTCATGATGATCACGATGATGACCGTGATGATCACCATAATGACCACCATAATGATGACACACTAATTATGGGGATGATGATGATGTTTATGATCACTATCCTAACGATAATCACGATGATCACGATGATCACGATGATCACCATAACGATGACACACTAATTACGGGGGCGACGACGTTTGACGGCCGCCATGCTAACGATGATCACGATGACGATCACATTACAATGACAGACTCACTATGGGGGCGATGATGCTGATGCTCGCTGATGATCGCGACGATCACGGCGAGCGCAATGCTGCTGACTCACATGACGCCGGACTTGAAGTAGCCCTTGAAGGTGTCGGACTCGCTGCCCTGCACCTCGCGCCGCTGCACGGCCACCCCGCCGAGCTGCTCGTCCAACTGGGTGCACAAGATGGCGGCGGCGCCCTGCTCGTCCTGCGTCGACTCCTGGCCCAGCCAGTAGTGGACGTCCAGCGTCGCGCCGCTCGGAGACTTCAGCACCTGATAATTGGTTGTTTTACCCTCTTATCTGGCAACAAAACTGACACCTTTTTTTTTTTTACAAGGAGTCATGTTTACATTGACCACGATACCTGCGGTCGGAACGCAAACAAAAAACAACAACTCTGATAATGTACGTGGCACTGTCCTTGAAATTGATTGGTCCACACCCGAGGCAGCTTTCTTTAGAGCCTCGTCTCACGTGGGTGTTGGACCAGAAGACGCCAAAAGGCGCACAACTCAAAGGCAATGCACCATCAGAGTATGAGAGCTTGGGGTAAGCATTTACACCATTGGAAACCTCATTTGCCAGTAACAAAATATGATAATTGTTTTTTTACCCTTTTATCTGGCAACAAAACTGACACCTTTTTTTTACAAGGAGTCATGTTTACATTGACCACAATACCTGCGGTCGGAACGCAAACAAAAAACAACAACTCTGATAATGTACGTGGCACTGTCCTTGAAATTGATTGGTCCACACCCGAGGCAGCTTTCTTTAGAGCCTCGTCTCACGTTGGTGTTGGACCAGAAGACGCCAAAAGGCGCACAACTCAAAGGCAATGCACCATCAGAGTATGAGAGCTCGGGGTAAAGCATTTACACCATTGGAAACCTTGTTACCGGAAACCTTCAGCACCTGCGCGCCGCGCACCGAGCGCAGTCGTCGATGTCGTCATCGTCGTCACCGTCGTCGTCATAACCGTCATCACCGTCGTCATAACCGTCATCATCATCGGCAGTGTCGGCGTGGTCCATGTTTGTTTTTCGGTTGGGTCACGTGATGGTGGCTTTTAGTCCAAAATTGTTTCGTCATTAACCCCTCCACCACCCGATGAGATTGTCATGTTAACACAGATGGTATTTTTATTATTGATATTTATACATTGCCAATGTATTGATTCCATTTCTGACCGATAAAGTTCCTCCTCGCCACAGTGTGTCTATGTGTTGGCTGCTAACAGCACTTGCCCCAACAGTCTGTTAAATGATATATGGGGAATATCTGTCTTTCTATGTGTGTGTGTCGGCACGGACTAAAGAAGAGATGGACTGAAGCTTTACAGGAGTATAGCCCGCGTGCCCAGCCACCGCATGCTTAAACAGCTTTTGTTCGGCCGGATCGAGGGGGCTTAACGGGCGCGGCACGGGCTGGAGAAGAGATGGAGTGACGTGGCACAGGAGGATGTGAAACTGAGTGGATTTGCCAATGACTGGAACCGGCGGTGTCAAGATCGGCCTCTGTGGAGGAGGCTCATGCAGGACGCTGCCACTGGGCAGTTGGAGGCAGTCACCCACTCCAGCAACAACGAAGGGCAGAGTATCGATGCTCACGACAATGAGCGGAGCGCCGGGCGGCTAAAGCTCAGGTGGAGGGCATAGATGGTGCGTCTATCGGTCATCTCAGTCAACCCACAACAGCGTGGTCTGTCCCGTGACAACCTTCCATCAGCGAGAACCTTCGACATTTCATATGACGTCTTCCAAATCTGCACCTAGCCTGGCAACAAGCGCCGTGGTGACCTCGCTGCCGCTTGGTGGCGAATGGAGTCTGTTGTTGTTTTTGTCTTTCTGCGCATGTGTGCGTGTGCGTTTGCAATGTACGGTGCGGTATGCATGAACGTTGAACTTCTTTCGCACCGTGCGTCGCCAGCTGCGCTAATCGGAGGTGCGGGGGGAAGGACACCAAAATAAACACGCAAGAAGCAGTTCTAAAGAAACGAGTTGGTCAATCTAGACCACGATTTAAAAGTGCACGGCTCCATGCGGCTTCCGAACATTGGAAGGAGGAGCGCTCCAGACGGCCACGATGCGGTGACCTTCGTCTTTTGTTCGACGGCCGAGCGGCCTAAAGCCACCGCCGACGTCGCTGCTGCGAGGATGACCGGATGAGTTCGCGTGACGATGGTTTGCGCTCCGCGGCGAGATCCACGGCGAGGTGTCGTGCCTCATTCGCGGACGAGGAACTCGTTGTGTTTGCGCGCGCGCATTGAACGCGGTGCGGCTTATAAACGCAACGCGTTACTCACGTTCAGCAGGACGTAGCAGTCGCCCTCGAAGAAGTTTCCAAAGGCTTTTGGTGGCACCGACACGAGGGCCATGTTCTGAAAGTACACCGAAAAGAAAGGCCCTCAAAGTGATTCACGGGAGGCCAGGCGCTAAGACAAAGACGCCCCGTGTAGCCTTAACGGACTGCCGGGGCAAGTGCTGTTAGGGAGTAGCAGCACCTGAGAAGGCCGGCACGATGGCACACGAGGGGGTGGGTGGCCCAGCATCCACGCCCGGCCGCTTTTGTCTCCCCAGTGGCGATGTTGAACGCACCGCACCAGGTGCTCGTTTGAGGCCGAGTCGATTTAGGGGAGGGCCAGGAGTGGTTCAGATATAATCGTCACCGGTGTTGGCCGTGAGCGGGAATCGAACTCGGGTCGCCAGGTTCGTAGTGCAGCACGCTAACCGCTACACTGCCACTCCCCTCCTGCTCCCCCCATGCAGACATACGTAACGAATACCGCGTATCTATGGGGCCTTTTTGCCCAGTATAAAAATGTAATCAAATAGATGTTAAGCTATTCAAACACCAAAGATAAATCTTTTTGCAAGGCATCAAGTCTACATTAACCACACACGATACTTGTGGTGAACATGCAAACAAACATGGCTATGATCATTTATATGCATTGTCTTTGAAACTGATTGGCCTACACCAGAGACACCGGCCTTCTTTGTGGCCTAGTCTCACCACCGGTGTCAGACCAGAGAACGACGCCAAAAGGCGAACAGTGCAAAGACAACGCCACACGTATCAGAACGTTTATAAGCTCGAGTTGAGCAGCTACATCATCGGATACCTTTTTTGCCAGTGTCAAAGTATGAGAAATAAGAAGAGGGTTTTTATCCTTTCTGGCAAGAAAACAGGAGTGGTGTTAAGATGTTCAAACACCAAACCAGACTTTGCCACGGGACCCTTAACGGCGTCGTTTGTGCGTCACCGTTGCGTCGGCGAGCGGTCCCCCGAGCGACCGAGACCTCGGTCCGAGACGGCGACGGCGCTGAGACTCTGTGGGCCCGCGTATCGCTACACCCGCCCCCTCTCCCCCCCCACGAGTCTAGCCACGCGCAAAACTCCAGAAGCAGCAAATTTGCACTCGTTGTGGTCCGGCGGCCGACGTTCGAATCGAGGGCGACTGCGACGGCTCAAGGGAATGGTGTCATCCCCCCTCCTCCCTCCTCAACCCCCCCCCCCCCCGCGTGATCCGTGGACCGAACAATTTGCTCGAGACGCCGGGCGGCACGCCGGCGAATGGCGGTTTAGTGCCAACTCCATCGCCGGAGGCCGCGCCAAACGCACTCGTGGCAACGGGCCCTGCCGCCGGCTACGAGCGGACGAGCGAATGAATGAAAATGTTAAAACTGCCGTGAGAAATGCAAATGGAAGCAGGCGCAGGTGTCCCTTGGCGCAGAGAGAGGGGGGCGGGGGGGGGGGGGTCCCTGCGACTGGACGCCAGAGTGACCGAGGCCTCGAGGCCCCACGTGTGCGTGCGTGCGGTTAACGCGTCGTAGGCTTTCACGACCAATACTATTAACGGTTAAGCTTTTTGGGTTAGTATAAATGTGTCGTAACTCTCCACCACCCGACACAGCCAGCAAGGTTTGTCACGGAAACAACAACGCGTGACAATTAGTTTACAACTTCAGCCCACCGGTGTGTTGGAGAGTAAATCCACGACATTTGCAGTGTGAGTACCGTGACGTTTCGCTGGTAATTACACCAACCAGCACCATCGGGCGGACTAGTGAAGCATTCCACCTAATTCTGGTCTTAAGTAGTGCAAGATGACGTTATCTTGTGCGTGTGTGTGCGTGTGTGCGTGCGTGTGTACGTGTGTACGTGCGTGTGTACGTGTGTGTGCGTGTGTACGTGCGTGTGTACGTGTGCGTGTGTACGTGCGTGTGTACGTGTGCGTGTGTACGTGCGTGTGTACGTGTGCGTGTGTACGTGCGTGTGTGCATGTGTACGTGTGTGTGTACGTGTGTACGTGTGTACGTGTGTGTGTACGTGTGTACGTGTGTACGTGTGTACGTGCGTGTGTACGTGTGTGTGCGTGTGTACGTGCGTGTGTACGTGTGCGTGTGTACGTGTGCGTGTGTACGTGTGTGTGTACGTGTGTACGTGTGCGTGCGTGCATGTGTACGTGTGCGTGTGTACGTGTGCGTGCGTGTGTGTGTGTGAGTCTGTTGCGTCCCGCGATGTGGCTCTCCTTCACACCTCGACCCTCCACACGTTGAGCCCCGACGCTTTCGTGACGGCCTTCAAGGTGTCCGGAGAGAGCGCCATCGTCGATGCGCCTCGCTTGAGGTTGCTTTTGTCAACTGTGCCAGCAAAGAAAGAAAAGAAACAATGTCAGTCTATGGGCAACAATGTCAGTCTATGGGCAACAATGTCAGTCTATGGGCAACAATGTCAGTCTATGGGCAACAATGTCAGTCTATGGGCAACAATGTCAGTCTATGGGCAACAATGTCAGTCTATGGGTAACAATGTCAGTCTATGGTCAATGTCAGTCTATGGGCAACAATGTCAGTCTATGGGCAACAATGTCAGTCTATGGGCAATGTTAGTCTATGCGCAATGCAAATCTATGGGTAATGTTAGTCTATGAGCAATATCAGTTTATGAGCAGCAATGTAAGTCTATGGGCAATGTAAGTCTATGGGCAATGTTAGTCTATGAGCAAGAATGTCAGTCTATGGTCAATGTAAGTCTATGGGCAATGTTAGTCTATGGGTAACGTCACTCTATAAGCAATATAAGTCTATGGGCAACAATGCAAGTCTGTGGTTAATATCGTAAATCCGCTGTGCTCTGCGCTCCTTCAACGGAGGAGGAGGCACAAGGAGAATGTCTCGTTCGGGGCGAGTAGCTGCATCATGGGAGACCTTTTTGGCAGTCTCAAAGTATGAAAAATAATCATCGGTTTTACCCTTTCTGGCGATATAACAGGAGTCGCGTGAAGATGTTCAAACACCAAATGGAAACCTTCTGGAAGGAATCAAGTTCCCGCATTAACCGCACGCGCTACTTGTGGTGAACATGCAAACAAACATGCTCTGATCATGCACGATGCTTTGTCTTTGAAACTGGTCTACACCGCAGACAGCAGCCTTCTCTATGGCATCGTCTCACCGGTGTCAGACCAGAGAACAACGCCAAAAGGCCGACGTTTTTTGTTGTTGTAGTCAGGGGCGGAGCCACAGGGGGGGGGCTGGGGGGTGGGGGCTGAGCCCCCCCTGAAATCTTGGGAAAGTCGGTAATCGGGATTACCGGATATCCGGCTGCTGCAAAATGATGCAGGCTGACACATTGTGCTGCCCTGCAGGCTGCCACCTTGTGCTGCCCTGCAGGCTGCCACCTTGTGTGCTGCCCTGCAGGCTGTTACCTTGTGCTGCCCTGCAGGCTGCCACCTCGTGCTGCCCTGCAGGCTGCCACCTTGTGTGCTGCCCTGCAGGCTGCTTGAGCGGCAGCCTTTCGAACTTATCAAACTTATTAGCCACATCAGCGGCTCCGACCTATTAATAAACTCCGCGTTCAAATCCAATAAAAAATTTCTATACATTTGTGGCGCCCATTGGAAAACATTCCACTGGATATCTCAGAATATTGAAGTCAGCCCCCCTCAAAGTCAAAGTCCTGGCTCCGCGCCTGGTTGTAGTGAGAGTGTGAATTCCGTTCCTTGTCCCGGGCTCGACTCTCCTCCCATCGTCCTTTCGAGGTCGATAAACACAAGTACGGTACCGCTTGGAGCAAGTCACGATCATAAAATGTATTTATACTTCAGGAGGAATCCGATGAGCTATAAAGCTCTTTCTCCACAGATGCCCAGTCGGGGCACGGGGTCAGACCATTACAACAACGGACACAATGAAAAAACACGATCGGAGTTCAAAGTAACAGGAAATGTATAAAACACATCACTTGAAAAAATATATATACAAGTAACACTAAACTATTATAATCTTACCGGGTGGAAAAACTACAAATAAAATAACTAACGGTACTGAGGTTCCCACAAGGCCACGCGGGAGGCCTTGCGGCACAGTTTGTGGCGCCGGCTACCGTAGAGTGGCCGCGGTCGTGTCGCTACAGTTCTCCGCGGTGAGTAATGACGTCTTCATAAAAAACACAACGGAGCCGCTACGCCTCTCGAAATAAAATGAACCGCTGAGCCTTCTTGCGGCGTTCCGAGATTCGCAATTTGGCAGATGCCTCGGAGCGGGAAAGGGCTCATTGACGGGAGCGGGCCGGTTGGAGGAAATGGGGGAACATTTCATGATTAATTTGTTATGAATCATTATCACGGCGATCACCACAGTCACCAACACACACGCTCAACACATGTTACCAGAATTATTTATGTCTCTGAGGTGTGCTACGGCGTAAAGCTGTACAACAGGCCGACAACCGAAACTCTCATTCATTATTAAAGCAACGGCTAAGTTCCTTGTTGTGAAGATCGTAGCTCAAGCCCTTTCCCAATCATCATCATCATCGGCTATGGTCGACCCACTGCTGGATGAAGGCCTCCCCAAGCCAGCGCCGTCTCTCGGCGTTCCGCGATGTTAGTAAACTCACACGTCACGACGAATCCTCAAAATCACGTGTCATCAAATCGTGAATTGTGCCATTATTGCAACTCCGATTAGCGCGGACGGCTACGGAGGGTGCCAAAGAAGTTCAACGTACATACATTGGCCAAAAACATCCCTAACGTTTGGGGGCACCACGGTGGCTAGGAGATGTTAACTACCTCGCCTGGTGTGCAGGAGGTCGTGGGTTCGATCCCGACCCTGACGCCTGCTGTATATTTGGAGCTTGGTGTCTCTCTCTCTCTCATCATCATCACAGTGGCTAGGAGATGTTAACTGCCTCGCCTGGTATACAGGAGGCCGTGGGTTCGATCCCGACTCTGACGCCTGCTGCTGTATTTTTGGAGTCTGCGTGTCTCTCTCTCTCTCATCATCATCACGGTGGCTAGGAGATGTTAACTACCTCGCCTGGTGTGCAGGAGGTCGTGGGTTCGATCCCGACCCTGACGCCTGCTGTATATTTGGAGCTTGGTGTCTCTCTCTCATCATCATCACGGTGGCTAGGAGATGTTAACTGCCTCGCCTGGTATACAGGAGTTCGTGGGTTTGATCCCGACTCTGACGCCTGCTGCTGTATTTTTGGAGTCTGCGTGTCTCTCTCTCTCTCATCATCATCACGGTGGCTAGGAGATGTTAACTACCTCGCCTGGTGTGCAGGAGGTCGTGGGTTCGATCCCGACCCTGACGCCTGCTGTATATTTGGAGCTTGGTGTCTCTCTCTCTCTCATCATCATCACGGTGGCTAGGAGATGTTAACTATCTCGCCTGGTGTGCAGGAGGTCGTGGGTTCGATCGTGACTCTGACGCCTGCTGCTGCTGTATATTTGGAGTTTGCGTCTCTCTCTCTCACCCCGTGGTTCGCGTGGATTTTTCCTCCGGGTGCCTCCGCGTTTCCCCTCCACATTAAGAATCAACATCATGCGTTTTAGAGCATTTGGCTGCTGTACATTTCCACGTGGTGATGAGCCCACTTCGTTGAGCTTTCATTCGCGTTTGCCAGGTCGCTTCTGAATAATGAGCCAAGGAGCAGCTCAGTGGGACCTTACACTCTTTGTTTTTTTCCGGCAAAGTCACGTAGGTAAAAAGAATAAATAAAAATAAATAAAAGAAAACTAAATTAAATCACGACGGCAGCCACCTCTGAGACACACTTAAGCGTTTGTGCTCTCGCTACGTTGACCCCACCTGAAGAAGGACGCTTGTGTTGCGCCCGAAACGTCGTGATTTAATTTAGTTTTCAATTATTTAATTTTATTTATTTTTCACCTACGTAACTTTACCGAAAAAAAAAACAAAGAGCATGATATCCTTGCAGTCACGAAAGCTTCAAATCTAGACACATTGGGACCTTACCTGGTGCAATAAAAATTAAAGACGGAGGAATGTGCACGTATGCTGGATGTATCTAGCGCCGTGCGTAGCCAACGGTGCGAATCCGAGGTGCGGGATTCAGCCGAGGTCACAATTCTGCGCATGTCTTATCGGCAGGCGACGCGTGTCGAGACTTCCACGGGGAGCGGGGATGACAGATACCGTACAAACGCCGTTGAACTTCTTTCGCACCGTACGTAGCCAACCGTGCCAATCGAAGGTGCTGTGTATCTAGGTGCGTTGAACTTCTTTCACACCGCATATAGCCAACCGTGCCAATCGGAGGTGCTGTGTATCTAGGTGCGTTGAACTTCTTTCACACCGCATATAGCCAACCGTGCCAATCGGAGGTGCCGTGTATCTAGGTGCGTTGAACTTCTTTCACACCGCATATAGCCAACCGTGCCAGTCGGAGGTGCCGTGTATCTAGGTGCGTTGAACTTCTTTCACACCGCATATAGCCAACCGTGCCAGTCGGAGGTGCCGTGTATCTAGGTGCGTTGAACTTCTTTCGCGCCGTACGCCGCCAACCCGTGCCAATGGGAGACGACAGTTATCGTACTTGCAGGCCACCTTCACACCGATTGTGAAATAGCTCGTCGTCCGGTTTCAGCTGGATCCAGAGGGGAGCTGCTGACCGGTTGTGCTGCTTTTATTTACCCACGCAGGGGCCGAACAGCACCGGCGTACCACCGACGTAACGCCGGCGGGCGTGACACCGGCATAACACCAGCGTGACGTCGGTGTACCACGCCAAAGGGCCATCAACCACGAGCGCCAATCTATTCGTTCGCGTGGATGGCAGCGATGTGGTTCAGGATCCCGATGCCAACGTGAAGGCCCTGCGGCTGCTGCACATAGCCAACCCTGAATGGATGAGTGGATGAGTGAGTGGGTGGGTGAGAGAGTGGATGAGTGAGTGGGTAGGTGAGTGAGTGAGTGAGTGGGTGAGTGAGTGGGTGGGTGGGTGAGTGAGTGAGTGGGTGGGTGAGTGAGTGAGTGAATGAGTGAGTGAGTGGGTGAGTGAGTGAATGAGTGGGTGAGTGAGTGAGTGGGTGAGTGAGTGGGTGAGTGAGTGAGTGAATGGGTGAGTGAGTGGGTGAGTGAGTGAGTGAGTGGGTGAGTGAGTGAGTGAGTGGGTGAGTGAGAGTAATGTGTACCATGTTGAACTTCTTTCACACCGTACTTAACCAAGAGTGAGTGGGTGAGCGAGTGCAATGTGTGTACGTAGCGATCGCTGTCCACGTGTGGGCCACCGCTTATCTCGGACAGCTCGAAACTCGGCCACAGGAATGTGGAATGTCCGCAATTTGCTCAGGGCGACGGTGCAGTACAAATGGCAGCTGCTCAATGCT